GCTGCGGCTGTGCTCCCGGTGCCTCTGGTCTGCTGGGGACCGTCTCCAGCAGACCAGGGACACCGGGAGCAAAGCCGGAGAGGCGGAGGGGTGCTGGGGTATAAGACGAAACCCTATCTTTTAACTAAAAAATTAGGGGGTCGTCTTATACACCCAGTAGCCTTATACGCCGGAAAATACGGTAAATATATGTTATTGCTGAATATGTATAATTAAATATATTATTTAATCATGAATATTTTCACTAAGCAACTTATTGACAAGATAAAGTATGTGCTAGTAGCAACTGTTCAAACACATATGATTGCTTTTTGTAGAGTGCTAGAAACATATCTGGGAACATGTCTGAAGAAAGAGTTAAAATAATGTGGGAGAGATATACTGTACAAAAGCAATGTCAGAAAAAATATTGCATTGATACATATGGCACAAAATTAGTTTTTTAGTATTTAGCACGTGCTTAAGTTTTACTGAAGTCAATGGAAATGGACGTTTATGTCTAAAGTGAAGCACGTGCTTAAATGAATCAGGGTCTTAAGAAACATTATGACATTTTGGATTATTTTCATCACAGTAGTCAAGATTCATAATATATTCATGGAAATTCATAAGCAGCCAGACAAATGAACAGGTTTGAGCAGATAACAAATGCAAGAGGCAGAGTAAAAACCACTTTGTATTAGTGGCATTCTAGAGAGTGGTCATTTTTCACTGTCAGCTAAAGCTGATTTTGCTCCTGGAATGCTTAAAAAACCATGACTATAACAGTGAGCTAGTAAAGCTATACCTTTTCTCCTGTCCTATCTGTAATATTCATGTGGTATTTGGTATTTGGGGATGGGACAAAACTGCATGAAACTCATGTATAAAATATAGGAAATGATCACTTATAAAGTTTAAACTTCCATATGTTATAAAAACTTTCTGTGGTTTCCAGGTTTGTTGGATTTCTTTTTTTTTCTTGATCCCACTTGCAAAACATTTCAGTTTGAAATGACTTTCAAAATTTACTTCAATTTTTACACAAAATTAGCCATTTTTAAAAGCTTGAAATTGAATTGAAATAGTTCATTTGATCCATTTTTTTTTATTATTTTTCAAAACAACCCAGAGACTGGAAAAAAATGGTTTAGTACAGCTCTAATGACAATTTCCCTCTAACTTTCCTTTAGTCCCGCTCTTCTGTATTCCCACAAAATTACAAACATTGGTAGCCATATTTCTACTAGCCCTGCATTTTATACAAACATAGCTGGTGTTGGGTCAAAGCTGATTACAATGAGCAAAATACCACTCCATCTGCTGAAGGCCTAGCAAATCTAAGCAAAGCGAGAGCAAACTGTATTTACATAGTTTCAGGGGGTAGCCGAATTAGTCTGTACAGAATAAATTTAAAAAACAACAAATGGCCTGGTAGCACTTTATAAACTAACAAACCACTTCTTCAGATGACCAGAGTTTTGAGTTTAGGATGTGCAGACCCAAATTAAATTGGGAAGAAAGGAAAGGGGGGAAGGAAAAAAAAAGAAGGGGATGGGAAACAAGGAGCAGAGGGTATGAAAATATCAAAGGGAAAAACAAGTAGGCAGAGCTGGCTGTCTATAAGCACCTAAAGATTGGATAGTTAAAAGAAGCAGATAAGGATCATAGGATAGCAATTAGATAGGAAGGGTACTAACACAAGAATCTAAACAGACAAAGAGCTGTTGACACCTTCATTGAATATTAGGTCAATAATATCCCAGCCATACGTTATCTTGATTGAGGCCATCAGTGTGAGAATTGAATTTGTGGATGAATTGTAATTCCAATGCCCCTCTGTGTATTTGGCTTGTAGAATTGGTTTATGACAAGACAACCACCTGGAGATCTTTTAAAATGAGATTAGGTAGATTGAAGTGTTCTCCAACAGGTTTCTGTATGTTCCCTTTACACCTTTATGTATATCTGATTTGTGTCCATTAATTCTTTCCCATAGGGATTGTCCCATTTGTCCAATATATATAGCAGTGGGTCATTGCTGACAACTGATGGCATAGATCAAATTACTGGATGTGCAGTTAAATGAGCTTTTGATTTGGTTGCTTATGTTGTTGGCTCCAGTGATGAATTCACTTGTATAGACATGGGCACAGTTGGCACTGTGGCTGATTGCAGGGCTGGATTCCTGGATGCTTAGGATGTGGTTGTGTAGCATGGCTACTGGAAAGAATTTGTTTCACGTTGGGGAGTTGTCTGTAAGCGAGAATAGGCTTTTCCCCCAAGGCCTCTGAGAGTGAGGGATCATTTTCCAAAATGGGTTGCAGATTGTGTATAATGCGTTGGAGGAGTTTGAGTTGTGGACTGTGGATAATGACAAGTGGAATTCTGTTGTTTTCTCTTTTGGGTCTGTCTTGAAGTGGTTCATGTCTGGGTACTTTTTTGGCTCTGTCAATCTGTTTTTTCACTTCTCCAGGTGGGTATTTCAGTTTTAGGAATGCTCTATAAAGATGTCTTTGTCTGTGGGATTAGAGCAAATCCAGTTGTTTCTTACGGCTTGGCAGTATACAATAGATCAAGAAATGTGTCTGGGATGGAAGCTGGAGGCATGAAGGTAAGTGTAGCAGTCGGTGGGTTTCTGGTATAGGGTGGTGGAAATTTGTCCATTATTTAATTGTACTGTAGTGTCCAGGAAATGGATTTCTTGTGTGGACTGTTCCAGGCTGATGTTGACGGTGAGGTGGAAATTGTTGAAATCCTTGTGAAATTCTTCAAGAGTCTCTTTTCCGTGGGTCCATATGATGAAGATGTCATCAATGTAGCATAAATAAAGTAGCAGTGTTAGGGGGTAAGAGCTGAGGAAACATTGTTTGAGGTCAGCCATAAAGATGTTGGCATATTATGGTGCCATGCGGGTGCCCATGGCTGTGCCACTGACTTGGAGGTACAAATTGTCTCTGAATTGGAAGTAGTTGTAGGTGAGGACAAAGTCGCAGAGCTGTGTAATCAGGTGTGCAGTGCTATTATCGGGGATGGTGTTCCGTATAGCCTGTAATCCGTCTTCATGTGGAATGCTGGTGTAAAGGGCTTCTACATCCATAGTGGCCAGGATGGTATTTTCAGGTAGATTACTGATGGTTTGAAGTTTCCTGAGGAAGTTAGTGGTGTCGTGGAGGTAGCTAGGAGTGCTGGTAACATAGGGTCTGAGGAGGGAATCGATATAGCCAGATAAACCTGTGGTAAGCGTGCCAATGCTTGAGATGATGGGCCATCTGGGATTACCAGGTTTGTGTATTTTGGGTAGCAGATAGAAAGTTTCTGGGGATTAAGGAGGGTGTTGGTGTAAATTTGTTCCTGGGCAGCATCAAAGAGCTTCATATGCATCTTTTTTATGGTTTTTTTTTTTTTTTTTTTGGTTTTCCTTAGTGGGGTCACAGGAGAGAGGCTTGTAGAATCTGGTGTTGGTGAGTTGTCTGTTCGCCTTCTGTTCATAATATGTTCTGTTCATGATGACTACAGCACCCTCTTTGTCAGCCTCTTTGATTATGATGTTAGGATTGTTTTTGAGGCTGTGTATAGCATTGAGTTCTGCATGACTGAGGTTGTGTGTTATATGTTGTTGTTTGCTGATAATGTCAGCTCAAGCACATTTGCAGAAGCAGTCGATGCAGAAATCAAGATTTTCATTATGACTGTTAGTGGGGGTCCACACAGAAGCCTTCTTCCTGTGAGATTGGCAGGGGGGGAGCAGTGAGGTCAGTGTGTTGTACACCGGTGTGTTGGAAATATTCCTTCAGGTGGCGGCAGCAAAAATAGGATTCCAGATCCCCACAGAACTGAATCATATTTGTGGGGGTGGGGTGGGTCTCTCTCTTCCCTTCCAGCAAGCTGTCAGGGAAACATTCCTTCAGCTCCCACTTGCAAAACATTTCAGTTTGAAATGACTTTCAAAATGTACTTCAATTTTTATACAAAATTAACCATTTTTAAAAGCTTGAAATTGAATTGAAATGGTTCATTTGAGACTTTTTTTATTATTTTTCAAAACAGTGCACAGACTGGAAAAAAATTGTTTAGTACAGTGATATTTGTCTTTTAGTTGATCAGTGAAAATAACATCTGTTTCTGAAAATAGAATGCATCTGACGAAGTAGGTCTTTGCCCACAAAAGCTTACGCTCCAATAAATCTATTAGTTTATAAGGTGCCACAGGACTTCTCATTGTTTATGCAGATTCAGACTAACACAGCTATCTCCTCTGATAAGTGAAAATAACGGTATTTATCGTTCTTCATTATCCTCAATAGTTGAATTGATTGTTAGCTGAGACCGTCACCAGTAAAAACTTGAAGCTTAAAATGTATTAGCACTGAGACAGGTAGCAATGGACAAATTTTTTAGACTCCATAGCTTTTATCTGCATCCTTGTTGTGAATACTTTAGCTTTAGCAAAACTAGCTATTAGTATTGATTTCTCACAAATGCAGTGGTAAGTGAACATGCAGCTAGCAACCTCTATCTGCTGTTAAAAACAGGCAATTAATATATCAACACTTACAAGTTAACAAAAAACAGGTATTTTAAAATGTGACAAAATTACATAACTGGACTCATTTATCTAGAAAAGAGTAAAGAGTTAACTCATCTCTTCAAATCAAGTTGCAGTTCAACATAAGTTTGTTACTGCATTGTGTTTAGTAATGGTGGAACATGCTCCATAAATATCAAAGCATGATACCAGGCGCAGATACCAGAGAAGATACCATAAAATGCAACTCCTGCAATCAGGGGCAGATGACAGTTTTGCGGGGCCCCGGGCAGCGTAAGTCCGCGGGGCCCCCCTTTGCCACGGCGCATGCGCAGCGGTGCCACGGCGCATGCGTGGGGCTTTTTGAAGCGCGGGGCCCGGGGTGGCCGCCCCGTTCGCCCTGCCCTATATCCGCCCCTGCCTGCAATAAAATGAGTCCCACTGTGCAACAGCGTAAAGGATGAGATTGGGGAATGGTGGAGGAGGAGGAAGGAAGCCAGGTGCCCAAGAAGGAATGAACGGACCAGGTAATCATCAAGTGATTTATCCTCTTTCACCCATTCCCAGCTTCTGATGAACAGAGGCTGGAGACACTATCCCTGCCCATCCTTGCTGATAGCTATCAGGGGACCTTTCCTCCATGAGTTTATCTGGTTCTTTTTTGAACACAGTTATACCTTTTGGCCTTCACAACATCTCTTGTCAAGGAGTAACACAAGTTGTCTGTGCACTGTGTGGAAAATGCTTCCTCTCTTAATTTAAAACTGCTCTCTATTGATTTAATTTAATGATGCCTAGTTTTTGTGTTATGAGAAGGATTAAATAACACTTCCTTATCTATTTCCTCCATACCAGTCATGATTTTATGGACTTCTGTCATATCCCCCCTCCCCTTACTTTCCTCTTTTTCAAGCTGAAACATCCCAGTCTTATTAATCTCATTTCATATGGCAGCCATTCCATACTCCAATCATTTTTATTGCCTCTTTCTGAGGCTTTTCCAATTCCAATATATCTTTTTTTGAGATGAGGCAACCATGTCTGCATGCTGTATTCAAGATGTGGGAGTACTATGGATTTATATAGAAGCAGTGTGATATTTTCTGACTTATTATCTATCCTTTTCTTAATGATTCCCAAATTTCTGTTTGCTTTTTTGACTGTCGCTGCACATTGAGTGGATGTTTTCAGAGAACTAGCCACAGTGACTCCAAGATCCCTTTCTTGGATGTTAAATAATCAGTACTTTGAGCTTTGCACCCCTTGAGCTATATAAATCCTCTAAAACCAGTAAAAGAAAAACAAAGTTTTATGCTCTCTGTAATCATTTCTGGGGAGCCAGCAGCCAGGGCTGTGGTGGGGAGGGGAGCATCAGTTAGGGCCAGGAGCAGAGCGGGGCAGGAGCCAGAACTGACTTCCTCTGGTCTGGCAAACTCCTTCGTTCAGGATCAGCCAGGTCCTGAGGGTGCCAGACAAGCTTCATGGAAGCAATATGAAGACATCATAATATAGGCTCAGTGCATGTCTCTCAAATTTAAAAAAAAAATAAGAGCAAAAGAAAGCCACCATGGCTAAACAGAGTAAAGGAACTGGTTAGAGGCAAAAATATATCCGTTAAAAATTGGAAGTCAACTCCTACTGAGGAAAATAGAAAGGTGCATACACTCTGGCAAGTCAAGTGGAAAAGTTTGATATGTTAGGCCACAAAAGAGTAACAGCAAATAGCAAAAGATTTTAAAAGTTTATGTTAGCTTTTATAAGTACTTCAGAAACAGAAAGTCTCCCAAACAATTAGTGGGGCCACTGACGATTAAAATGCTAAAGAAACATTCAAACAAAGCAATTGCAGAGAAGCTAAATTTGTTGTGTCAGTCTTCACTACAAAGTAGAAAATATATGATAAAAAAGACACTATGAACAAACCAGTCATTGTCTGGTCAGTAAAGCCTCCCCTTCTTGGTAACAACTATTTTTGTTGTTCACAAGTGCTCTATTACAGATCTTTCATAGTCACATCTAAGGAGACTGTAGTGAAATCCAGAACGACAATAAGAATACATCTGTATAACATCTTAAGTGATGCAGGAACTTTTATCTGTCTTGAGAAACCAATCTCACTGCAACTGTGATACTGATCTTTGAGAGTCCATCTTCCATCCCAGTTGGTAAGCAGAGGCACAAAGTCATTTATTGTTTACTGAAGTGACAACCTGGTTATGTTTCTCATAACATAGAGGATCCTCAAAGTACACACCTGAATCAAAAACTCTGAATGACGTAAATGTATGATCTGTACTTGTATTTTGCTAACTAGTTTAGTCTTAGTTGCCTAGAAGTTATGCTAGCAAACAAGTAATTGAGAGCACCGAGACTGTTGAAACTCATTACATTAAGGCTTGTACTATCTGTAATAACAGGCACCTGTGATTTCCCATCAGCAGTAGTTACCTTGGGTGTTTCAAAAGAGTTCAGTCTTAAAAACAGATTCTGAGGACAAGACAATTAATAGTTTTTTAGAAAAAAACAACCCAGCAGCTTTGAATTAGCTTGTAACAAAGACATTAACAACAATTTGAACCTTTGACTAAAGTGTCATAAGACGGGACAGTAAAATTCCAGAGAAACAACAATGTTAGCATATTTTATTTTGGGTTTAATGTGTGCTAATCTTGCTTACATAAATGGCCGAGTCTGATTACAAAAATCAGCTTAGTGAGTAATTTTGAACTGTATAAACATTCTTTGAAAATTAAGTAACTTGTCTAATTTTTTAATTCCTACTTTAAAACTGAACTGACACAAGCAGTTTCATATTTCCATTGGTATATAGATGCTTATTTAAGAATCCCTCATTTCATTTTGGTAGCAAAATCACCTACTCCGTACAGTATAAAAGGGTAAAATATGCCTTTCTAATAAGATTGTGATGTCCTTACATAAAGAGAACTGATTGTCCCTTAAAAGCTGTGACATGCCATGTTGGGTTCTATTTTTAACATTGGGAACACTAATATCTAACATCTTTGTTTTGGTTCTATTTTAGGTGGTAAAACACATACATTTATATCAGTTCTCCTGTCTGCATTAGAGCTAAGGAATGTTGATCCAAAGAACAATAAGAAACCTCATAGAGAGGCAACTAGTTCATTAAATTGATTTAACTAATGTATTTTATAACCTCTCTCAGACCATCCTTATTAGTTCTATCCTTTTATAATAACTAGCTGAAAGACATAATTTTACAATTGGTCTACTGACATTCCTAGATTAACTTTGATCACTAACATATACACAACCATTTGGAATATAATTGTTAATCTACATTTTAAAAATGTAGGGTCACACAGGTCACTTGTCAGCCATTGCCCCCATTAGATACAGGTTCCTTTCAGACAAGCTTTTTCTTTTACTAAACATCCTCATCAATTTTATGTACAATGATTAACACACCTGATCCTGCATTTCTTCCTTAGCAAAGGAGAGCGTGAAACAGATTTGCCTTAAGTATGACTTTGTCACTTCTCTCCTACCTAGTCCGTGTCCCTTTACCGTGATTCTTATACTTCAATCAAGCTACATTTATCAGCAGTTTCTTCACATTTACTATCCTGGTGCTAACATTTATTTGTAGCCAAGCATCTGGCATCTGTTCAGCAGCTTCACTTCTCCAGAGTTTATACAAATATTCTCTTCGTTGAAATAAATCCAACAATCTAAGTGAAACTCAGTTGAAAGTGACAAGTGCCACCTCGTTTTCTGGCAAACCATGTAAAATTGGGACTTCTCCGGGATTTCAGAGCAAACCTGTAAACAGCTCCAGATTTGTTAAAAGGTTTAATGAACTTCGGGAAAACATATGAAGAACAAATTTCTGATGAAATGAAGTGGCTTCAGTGAGATTTCTGATTTCTTCTCAAAACATTTCGTACAGCCCTACTGCCTTGCCAGGAAAACTCACTTCTGTTACAGATTCATTCTGAAGCTGTGAGAGAGAATCTTTGTCTTGGATTCATGAGGTAGAGTGATTCTATTCCATTTTGCATTTATACCAAGCATTTCACCTCAAGATTGAAGATTTACAGCATATGTATTGTAGCAATTCACATTGTTATCCCAAATGTAGTTATACCACTTGAGCATGACTGAAACAGGATCTTATCCTAGTCATTCCTTGCTGTTTCCTCTGTTCCCTCACTTCCACAGTGAAACAAAGCCACCACAAACTAGTGCTTAGTGATTCCTCTCCCTTTCTGAGGGCTGTGGGTAACGTTAGCTAGGCCTTTCCTTTTGGCCGGTATGGAGGATTTGTTTTCCAGTCCCTTCCAGGTCCCTGCAGGACAGGCTCACTCAGACTGAATCTGAGCAGACAAAAGAGCACACCAGCTCTCCCATAACTCAAACTGCTTCGTATATAACTCAGCTACTGGCCCTGAGTCATATGTTCTCATTGTGTGACCCTGGACTTTTTCTGGGGAGATGGGAAAAGCCTGACACAGGTGCAGTGAGGTCACAACCAAGGCAGAATCGTCAGGCTCCTGGCCAAGGTGGGGCAGGTTCCTGGAAGGGGCAGGGCCTCAGGCAGAATGGGTGGGGCTGGGGACTAGCTTCCTGCAGCCAGCTCTTCCGCGCTGCCTGGATGCACTGCTCAGGATTCTGGTGGAAATTTAAAGGGCCCAGAGCTCTGGTTGCTGCCACTGCAGGGAGCTGTGAGCCCTTTTAAAATCACTGGGCCCCAGAGTGGCCTCCCCCCATTGGTGGCCCTGGCCAAAACTTCCTTAATTAGCCACCTCATGTTGTGACAGTGACCCCTTTTCTTGCAAGCATACAATAATCTGACCAATCTGTACTTGTCTGGGTGTGTCTCTCCAATCCATCAATAAAATTATAGGATTCAGTTGTACCACACTATTTGCAAAGGCTGGATTTAGAGGCCTGTAATTTCCTCTGTCATCTCTTGCTACATTAAATATGACTGTCAAGAGACATGCTCTCCAGAGCCCCAATATCTTGCCTGCTGCCCATGTGGAAAAATTGGCTCTTTTATTTCCTCTGTTAGCTCATTTCATATGCTGGGATTCAAGCCATCTGCCACTGGAGCTTTCTGTAACATTTACCTGCTGTAAAAAGCTCTTGAAATTGATAGCTTTTTTCCTCCCCAAACACAAACCTAAGAATAAAATACTGTAACAATTTGAATCAAATCTAGCTAATTTATTCTTGGGAAACCTTTCCAACAGCAGACCAGAAAAAACACAGTATAGATATTTTCCAATCTTCTTTTTTCAAGCTCACTTTGGGTACATCTACACAGCAGAGTCTACATGTTCACTACAAGCAGTTATTTCAACATGTCGAAATAATGCTGAGCTGGAGGACTTCTTTTTCTCGCTACTGTAACCCTCATTTTACAAGGAGTAAGGGAAGTTGGAGAAAGAGTGCTCTAACTCAGATTTCCTGCTGCGTAGATGGTGCCAAAAGCCGAAATGAGCTATTTCGACTTAAGATATGCAATTGGCATAGCTCAAGTTGCGTAGCTTATTTCGGCTTTAGCCCTGCTGTGTAGACATACCCTTTCTAAATGCAAGAATAGAAGCTAAAAATGTCAGAGGAGCTGTAGAACTAAGTTACATTCACTCACCTAGTCCCCAAAGGACGGTTCCAGCAAGCAGGGATAGGTGAAGAAGTGGCGTATGCCTCCCATATATACCCCATTTGTTAGGATTGAAAGTTTTACTCTTTTTATATTTGTATTTTAGGTTTAATAATGTAGCAATGTAAGATAACACATTATCACATTTAACATTTCATTAATGAAGCTCTTTAGTTAAAAATATATATTTATTTAAAGTTTAGTAAGTAAAGAGACAGGATTTTGGTATTGTGGCTATGTTAATGAGATTAGAAATATTGAAGGCCCAGGCCTTCAATGTGAATTGTTTTGATTTTGATTTCAATTAATATAAACCAGTAGTGTTTACTTTTGAAGGATTTTGTGAAAGACTGTGTGAAAGAGAGAATGTGTGAAGGTCATTGTTAGAGTCAAATGGTCAAGAGAGAAGGGGGGCAATGCAGGTGAAGACAAACTGTAAAAGACAGACTGCGAAGAGACATATTGGCGTCAGAGAAACCATCAGTGCATACCCACGGTCAAGAATTGATCAGATTGGCAGACTGATGGCTCTAAAGGTGAAGGCATCCCTAAAAAGAACTGATTAACAATCCAGGACAGGATGAGTCTCTTGGAAATGTTTTGGGAACGAATAACATCAACAAGATAACAGTAACTGGTCGCAGACTGACACAGCGAAATCCATGGACTTCAACAGAGAAAAGGATTATAAAAGCAGGGTGCCTTGCTATGAAACTTTGGGTTCGTCGTGCCACTAACTCCAGGAGCATCGGATCGATCAACTGACAGAGCCCGGCTCCCCCTCTGTGATCAATCTGGCTGGCCACTAGATTGATCCAGACTCTGGACTGGTAACTATAACATCGTCTGGCAGGACTGTGTGGTTGTGTCTAGACTGGCAAGTTTTTCCACAAAAGCAGGTGCTTTTGCAGAAAAACTTGCCAGCTGTCTACACTGGCCGCTTGAATTTCCGCAAGAACACTGACTTCCTACTGTCTGAAATCAGTGCTTCTTGCGGAAATACTATGCTGCTCCCATTCAGGCAAAAGTCCTTTTGCGTGAAGCTTTTGCGCATAAGGGCCAGCGTAGACAGCTCAGATTTGTTTTGCGCAAAAAAGCCCCAATCGCGAAAATGGCGATCGGGGCTTTTTTGCGGAAAAGCGTGTCTAGATTGGCACGAACGCTTTTCTGCAAAAAGTGCTTTTGCGGAAAAGCATCCGTGCCAATCTAGATGCTCTTTGCCGCAAATGCTTTTAATGGAAAGCATTTCCGTTAAAAGCATTTGCGGAAAATCATGCCAGTCTAGACGTAGCCTGTGTGTGTATGGTGTTTGTGTGTGAATGATTGAAAAGCATATGCAACTGTTGTATTCTCAATAAATGCAACATACTGCCTTTTCCCCTATAAAAGATCTCGCATGCTTTGTTTAAAACATTTTCCACACACACCTAAGGGGAGTTAATGTAGAGCCATTAGCTGCTGGTTCTAGACTACCTGCAGGTTTTCTTGTGTGTAAGGGGACTCTATGAGGCAATTAAGGCAGCATTATGGCTCTGAGGATCATGTCACTACGCTGTTTCATTTTGGCTTTCTTGGTGCTAAGCAGGATTCTGCCATGAATTTAAAAACAAACAAACAAAAACCCCACAGTTGGTGTTTTGTTGACTTTCTCTATGTATTGCTATGACAAGTAACCAGCAACCTACCACTAAGCCCATCTTGCTTGGGCAAGTTTATAAATTGAATCTTGCAGTAATCAATTCTCTTTCATACTACTCCATAAACAAACTCATCTGGAAAACAGGGTAAGTTGATTGTACCACTCATTGACTAACAATAACCTTCACAGCAGAGTACCAAGGTCAGTATTTCCAAGCTGAGTGAGTTTATATTTATTTCATGTCTACGGATTTATGCAGTTGTTTCTTAACTTCTATGAGCCTTTGCCAGTTCTAACTCTTAGAAAGCAGCAGAGTGCATAAACACCACCCCAGGCAGAATTACTGAAGTTGTCTCCTACCGTGCCTTGTGTCCTACAGTGCCTTGTGTCCCACAGAAACACACACTCTCTGTAGGATACTGCACCCCCCTGCTTCATCAGTATTCATCCTCAGGAAGCAGATGAAATGCTTCCATGGATGTTCAAAATTATACCACATTAGTCAAAATCCACTGGCCTGTCTTAGATATATGAGATGATTTTGACACTCTGGCTGTGGTCCAGCTACTGTTGGTCCTTGGTAGTGAGGATTAATGAATACCTGTTGTTGATAACTTGTTTTTCAGAGGTGTGCCAAGAACAAGCTCCCTTGACATTGCAGCCAGGTGGCTTACAGACACAGTACTTATTGAACACTTTTGATGGCCCACAACATAATTCAGGAAGCACAATGAAATAATGATTCACACAGAACCACAATACAGTGGGTCTAAGTGGCACACTAGTTGCAAAAAAAAAAGTGTCATGCAAATGGCAAATAAATCATAAAGATGTACTTAGAACCTATTCTCCGTGAGTTCTCTTGTCATCTGGGAGTAGAAATAGAAATACATGGCTCGCTTATGTATTTGCATAGTCAACCTGGGGAACTCCTTGCCAGAGGATGTGATGAAGACAGGGATTTTAACAGGGTTCAAAAAAGAATAGATACATTCATGGAGGTTAGGTCCATCAATGGCTATTAGCCAGGATGGGTAGGAATGGCGTCCCCAGCCTCTATTTATCAGAGGCTAGAAATGGATGACATCCGGCATTGGCCACTGTTGGCAGACAGGATACCGGGCTTGATGGGCCTCTGGTCTGACCCAGTATGGCCATCCTTTTGTTCTTATTATGTTCTTTATTTAAAGAGTTAGGCTCGTTATCCTCTCTGATATATTGGATGGCAATCATTCCCTGAGATTAAACCCAGGGCTTTTTAAAAAACTACACAGTAGCTTCTTTCTTTTGTGTGTTGCATTTGAAGGCATTTTTCCTCATTGTGGGGCATCCCACAGGAATAGGCAAACATAAGAGTCTTAATCCATAGAGCATCACTTGAGTTTTATGCCATTATAACTCCATTGATTGCACTGTATTTTTACCACTGTAAAACTGGAATGGGCTCCAGTTTATAACTTTGAAATAATAAATAATTTCTCTTTGTTGTTACTTAACTTCAAGTGGCTTTCAGATATTAT